CCCGCACCGTGCGCTTCCGCGGCCCGGAGGGCGGCGGCGGTTACCTGCTCCTGCCGCACCGCCCGCACCGGCACGCCCTCAGCACCGGCCGCGGCCCACGGAACCGAGAGGGAGCCGCGCACCACTAGGCTGCCCGCGCCTCTGACCCCGGAAGTGGATCCTGCAAGCCCCGCCCCTGATGCGCGGCCTCTTAAGGCGCACGCGCCCGTCACGTGCCCGGCTGAGGCTGCTCCGGAGCCGTCGGGGGTTCTCGCAGGGTCCGCTCGGGAAGAAGGTGACCGGGACCTCTACTGCCTAACCCCTTCGCGGGAGCCGCCGCCTGTGAGGTATGGCTCCTCATTCCTCGCATATGGCAGGCCTGTTTCTGTGCCTGACCAATGCAGAAATCAACCATTCGCTGCCTCAGAAGGCACTCTCCTCTGAGACTGCCTGGAGGACTTACCTCTAAGCCGGGTTCAGTGAGATGGAAAGAGTAGAGTGCCGGACGGATAGAAAGTGCTTGAGAAGCAGTGGCTGACCAGACAAAACCACCCTCTCATCACGTTATCCCAACCCTCAAGTGTCAGCCTGGCCTGCAGCCAAGAGCCACTCTAACCACTGCTCGCCTCCAAGAACTCTGCGCTAGGACTTTTGTTGCTGTCCTCGGCTCCACATCCCTGCTGTTCTGTTCCTAGTGCTGTATCTTGTTACAGTTTCCAGCTGCCGAGCCACACCTTTTTTGAAAACCTTCAAAAGAATGACACATACGCAGGTTTTTACACTATTTGAAAGGACGAACATAAACTTTTTATGTCCACTGTCAGTAAACTATTGGATAAAAATAGTCAACAGGCACCCTATCTGTACTGTCAGTAAACTATTAGATAAAAATAGTCAACAGGCACCCTATCTGTTAAAGAGTCGTCCGCTTTTACAACATGAGGAATTTGGAAAACATTTATATAACAATTCGGTATTGTGTGTCATTTGCCCAGTATTGGATCAAGTTGTAATCCAAAAATGAACAAGTTAAAGGTCTAGTAACCTGGCTATTGTGAGCACAAATATGTGGAATGTTGGCATTAGTTGTATAAAAGTCACTCGAGCAATGAGAACATCATTTTCTCTTCTTTCCACTGAAAAAAATTTATTCGAATCTGTAATTCCTGCTCTGTACCAGAAGTGGAAAATACTAGCAAGATCCAAATTAGCTCCATAAATCCGGACCTACTACATTAATGAACAGGTTCAATATTGAGAAGTTCACCTCTTCTACACCCTTTATCCGGCATACACCTTTTTTCTGCATACAACAGATATTTCTGTCGTGATCCTTTCTTACAGAGATTTAATTATCTGTTAGAACACCAAGTGAAGGACCGCTTCTTATTTGAATATTCAGTAATCTACTTCTTTATCTCTGTATGTCCAGCAGTTTCCAAGTAATTAGAAACAAAGGTATTAAATAAATCTCTCAACTTGGTGCAATTACCTTTATATCGTTTGTCTTTTATATCTCTTTCTGCTGTAATATCACATTGTTTCTGAAGTTTTACGTGCTTATTCTGTCCCACCGAATTCAAAATTCAGTATTTAACAGATTTATAATACACATTTATAGCTAATACTTATTGAATATTTGTTGCGTACCTAGCATTGAACTATTTTAACAAAGCTAGAATGTAGATATATTAATATACTAACTTTTGAGATGAGAATACCCACTGAGGGTAACAGGTGGCAAAGCAGGATCTCAAGCAAGATCTGCCCAATGGAAGGATTTAATGTTTATTCATTACATCATATCACCTCTTTTTCATATCACTTTTTTATTATTGCATCCAAATCCCACTACTTCTATAAAATCCCCCACAGTAATCTGTGTTTTTTACTTTTTAAGTATATAATTCATGGCTTTTACTATATTCACAAAGTTGTGCAGTCATAACCATAACCAATTTTTGATATTTTCCTAACTCTAACAAGAAAACTTCTACCCTTTGGCAATCACCCCCTCAGTCCTCCCATGTTTCCCCATCTTTCCCCAGGCCTAGGCAACCACAAATCAATTTCTCTATATATAATTTGCCTATCCTGGACCTTTCATGCATATGTATTATAGTTTAGATCTAAAATGTCCTCCCAGATTTTCATGTGTGGAAAGTGATGGGTTCATGGCAACACTATACTCATCAGTGGGTGCAGCTATTGATGAGTTCATAGTTTAAAGTGCTGGCTGTTAAGAGGTGAGGCCTGGTTGGAGGAGAATCACCAAGAGTGTGACCTGGAAGGATTTATTCTTGTCCCCACTTCCCTTCTCTCCCCATCTCTCCTTCCAGACTGGCATACCCTTCTACCATCCATTTCCTTCCTTGTAGTCAGCTATCCAAGAACTAAAACTATATTCCAAAATAAACCTGTCCTCCTTTAAGTTGCAAGTATTGTGTATTTTGTCTTAGTGACAGGATAGTAACTAAGACAATATGGAATCATGCAATATGTGTTCTGTGTGACTGCTTCTTAACATCATGTTTTGAAATTTTATCAGGTTGTATTCTCTTTTAGGATGTAATGAATAAGGCTTGTGTGGACGTTCTTGTACAAGGTTTTTGTCAACATTTTTTCCTTGCTCTTGGATATATATAATACCTAATAGTAAGTTTTATATATATATATAAAATACCTAATAGTAAGAATGCTGGACCACATGGTGACTATGTGTTTAACTTTCTGAAGAACTACTAAAATGTTTTTCAAAGTGCCCATTCCATTTTCCATCCCTACCAGCAATATAGAAGGGCTTTAAGGTCACCACTGTGTCTTTTCTTTACCCCTCTAGAATATATGCCTCTATTACTTTTCAGCATACTTTCTATGACCTATCCAGTGTTGTTATTTACCTTTGTTGTTTGTGTATCTTCAGACCCATCACCCTCAAAGATTGTGACTGCCTGAAAAGAAAAGCTTGGTTCCTGTCCTGAAGAAGGTCAAATATGGAGAAAGATAATTAATTCAGATATTACAATGATTACACTAAAATCAAGTTTAGTGTTAAAGTGTAAAGAAAGAATACCTCACTCAACCTGTGCTAAGCTAGAAGTACTTCTCAGGATATAGAGCTTAAGACAAATCTTGAAGAATCAGTAGGAATCAGTGCATTTAAAGAGACATGAACAAGCTCCAGACCAAGTACCTGCACCTCCCTATTATTTCCTTGCCTATGAACTGTAGAGGTAAGAGCATTTTGTAGGCAGGTATAGGAGAAGCAAAAATGGTGTGTGAGAATGTGGCAAGAGAATATGGAAATGCATATAGGGCAAGAAGATGAAGAGTTTTGTAAACTGTACTAAAGGATTTGAATTCTATTTCAAAAAGAATAGAAAACTTCCAAATTGCCAAGTCAAGGTTGAAGAGAATTACATCAGCAGAGAAAGATGCCAACACTGTAAGCAGAGAAACCAGTTAGAAGACATGAAATAACCAGAACAAGGCCCGAGCCAAACTGGTAGCTATGAAGTTGACAAAGAGGATTTTAAAGGCATGTGGACAACAAAAAAGGAGGAATAACAATGTGTCCCAGGTTTCCGAAGCTACTCAAAGAGGTAGAGGATTCAGAAGGAAAATGGTGCACTTGGTGAGAAGAATAATTGAAACACTAAAATGTGGGAAGCTATAGCAAAATACTGGGTAGCTTATAAAAAACAAAAACTTATTTCTCATGTCTGAAGGGGAGAAAGTCAAAGATCAAGGTGCCAGCAAATTTGCTATCTGATGAGGGCCTGTTCTCTTATTCATAGACGGCACAGTGTTGTGTCGTCAAATGGTAGAAGAAGCAAGGCAACTTCCTGGGGCATTCTTTATAAGGATACTAATCTCACCCATGACCTAATCAGCTTCCAAAGGATCTATCTCCTAATATCATCACGTTGGTGATTAAATTTCAACATATAGATATTTATAAGGACCCCAACATTCAGACAGTAGTTAAGTAGGTTGCAGTAATTTTAACTTACTACCATTGTATAGCAGTGCATTGGTTCACAGAATCAAATTCAATGATTTGGCTCAGTGTTGACCTTATGGGCAAATTTGTTTCTGTTCTTGTCCCAGTTTGGTTTGTGAACAGAATTGTGAATAGAGTTAAGTTCATGAACTGAGGTACCACTGTAGTTTATATGCTGATACACCACAGAAGTAGAGTGGACTCCACTCAAAATTTAGTTCATATTCCAACATTTATGACACTACATAGGAACAAAGAGTGTGTAAGGTTTATTACATGATGAAGATTTTTAGGAAGTGCAAGGAAGACTTCCCGAGCTGGCCTGAGAATGGCTTGGAGTAGAGGGAAAGACTTCTAGATTTTTTTAATGGCTAGGATATAAAGATAAAGTAAAACTTCCAGCACTGAGTGTGGGACTTATGTTTCTGAATCTCTTACTGGCACCAAAATAAGGAGCACTCAGGCTTTATTATCAGCTTGCCCAGATGTAGAGGGAGCAAGTTAGGTATAAGGATTAAAAGTTGTTACCAGTTAAACATCAAAGAATGAAGTCAGGGATGCACAGCACCCCTCTCCAATGTCAGCGTGATGAGAGGCACCCCTCTCTCATGGGAGCAAGTAGACTCCTGCCAGAACCACAGCATTCCCTGATGCATGAGTATAACCACCCACCAATTTCAAGCCTGCTCTACATTTTGCTTCCCCATGACATAGGACAGCAGAGATGAGGACTAACCAACCAGCCTGATCCTAGATGAAGACAATGCCCAAGGACAAAAGGAGGCAAGCAGACCTCATGACTGCAAACATTATGTGCACCCAACTTGACCCACAACCTGCAGCCTACATCCAGCGGAGACCAGGGAGCTGATTACATTCCCTATATACTAGTGAGACCAACGACATACCTTGGCTTGTACAGTAACCACAATTTGGGAAGAATGGACAATGGGGATACGCATATAAGCAGGGTGCCTCAAAAACCCATAGACCCTAAAGCTGGGCATAGAAAATCATGACTGGCTGAATTCCAAGACTGCAGTTCTTGGAAAGAAACCACTCATTCAATAATATAGAATTTTTCTCTTTCACTTAATATTTTTATGATTTTTTATTTTGTATTATTTTTATATTTGCTTCATCAGGTTTTTTGGGAGGTTGGAATTACTCTCCAATTTTTTCTTCTCTTTCAGTTGCTTTCCTCTGCATTTTGCTTTTCCTTTCTATTTTTTCTCTTCCTTGAATTTTCAATTTTCACTGTTTGTTTACCTTTTTTCTTCTTTACTGTTTGTTCTTCCCTATGTCTGTTTTCCGCCACTATTTTACTCCTTAATAGGAGCTCCTATGTCACTTTTATCATCTCCTTGTCATATCTCATTGCTTAATTTTTTTTTTCCTTTTCTGAGACAAGGTCTCTCTATAATAATTTCAGGCTGTCCTGAACAACCTAGATAGCCCAGACTGGTCTTGAATTCACAGTGATCCTCCTGCCTCGGCCTCCTGAGTGCTGGGATTTCATGCATGTGCCACCATGCCTGGCCCGTTGCTTAATTTTCAGTATTTGCTTTTTTTATTTGTTGGTTCCCCATACCCTCTACCTTTACTAATGTAACTACTAAGCATTTTTTCCTGTAGATAACTAGGAAATATGTTATTGCTACTGAGTACTATTGTGTTGTTAGTAGAGGCACATTTATTCCATTTGGTAGATATTTACTTTAGATCAATGATACATCCATATTTGTTTGTATTTGTATTCATACTATAATTACAAATCTCTTTTCTGTGGTTAAAGGTGGTGCTCTAATCATTGGTCTCTTGAGTTTGTCAATATTCAGTTTGTATTTGACACTATAACTGATACTGATTTTATTACTATAACTAAGATGATACTGTTTTTGCTAATTGGTTTTCTTGAGATGCCAATATCTGGACTGCCTTTGGGTCATTAACAATACTGTAGCCCATTTCTGGAAAACTGGATATTGGGCCAGATACGCCACAACTTCCCACCTCAAGTGAATGGAGGTGGTTGGCTCCTGGGACAGAGCCAAAAGCCAGTAGTTAGCCATGCCCAGAGGACTCACTCAGAAGTGGGCAGTAACAAAAGAGGTATCCATAGGAGAAACAATGCTTTCCACTACAATTACTCTGCAAGCCTCAACACAAAGCAAATAAAAATATACAAACACGTGGAGATATGCCAATAAAATATATCCCAGAGCTCCCAAAATGGATCCATGTGGCACTGAAGGAGAGAAAACTAAAGGTAACAGATAAGCCAGGTGTGGTGGTGCACACCTATAATCCTAGCACTTGCAAGGCTGAGTAGGAGGATTGCCTTAGATTGAGGCCAGCCTGGGCTACACAGTAAGTTTGAGGCCAGCCAGAACTGCAAAGCAAGACCCTGTCTCAAAATAAGTAAATAAAATAAAGGCAACAGGCCCACATTATTCAAAATTATAGCAGGGGGGTAATAAAACA